ACATATTTTTCTCATTAGCTGTACATCTTCGTGCACGATATATTTCATAAGTGAAGAAACCACTTGCACATAAAAGCAAAAAAATTGCGCGAAATTAAAACAACAACAACAATCAAACCAACGCTAGAAAACTTTATGCTTAACTTCAAACAAACAAAACATTTTAGTTCTAGTTTTATAAACTTGCCTGGGGCAGTCAGATAGCTAGCGTCGCGCCCTGTGACACATTCATGTCAACTCGTGTTTTTCTTATTAGCTCGCTTTCTCTTCCCCTTCTACGCCCCCTCAACTGTGGCATCCAGGTCTCTCTCTTTTGTTGTTATTGGTCTCAAGTCTGATATTCCCAGGGTAATTCAGAAATAGGAACATTTTCATTTTACTCAATCTAATCCATACACATAGAGACAGGAAAATAACAAATACTCTAATTATAGAACTACAAGACAAACAAACACCTATCACAGCCTACCAGTTCCAAAAATAACAGCATTTTCTCCTATACGATATTATTTTATTTTGGAAAACTTTTAAAGTGCAGGAAGTAACTTATGAGGAAACTTCGAGTACAATTTAAGACTTTTATAATTTAGAGGAATGCATAATTTGTAGCGAATACGTTAAACATGGGCGTAAAACTGGATTGTATTAATTATTTCAAAAATACAATATTGTGGCAAATGAGAATTAGGGATAAATTTTGGTATCGTGATAAAATAAATAATAAAGTGGGTTAAAAAACATTTAATCCAATTCTGGGGTATTGCGACATAAACAAAACTGATGAAAAATCACACTGCACCAACTTATTCCAGTTCAGACTGTAACAATTGTTGTCAAACGATTTGACAATATTTGGATATACATCTCGTCCACTACTATACCTGTTGTATTCCAACCAGTCTCGTTGGTACTCAATATATATATTCAGGCAGAAGTTATTATTATCATTTAATAATGTAGTCTTCTCTCTTTGACGCTGCAGTCGCTTAACCCGGGATCAAAGAAAAAAACATTGGTTTGTCAATTCCTCTGAATTTATATGCAGGTTAATTCAGTAAAATAATCATTCATAATACAAGTTAAAATAAATAATATACATAGTACTGATGTTCTTACCCTGATTCTAATATATATCTATAACACAAGATCTCTGGTATTAGACGATAGGCCTCTTCGACACTGGTTATGGTGTAGTTGATACATCACACTATATTTTCACTCCGAAGATATTATTATTAATTATAGATGTAGTCTCCTCCCGATAAAGTGTGACTGACGTATTATTGTTCTCTCTTCAGCCTTTATTTACACTGAGGAATTCTTATTAATAATTGTTGAAATAATATATTACTAACCTACCTTATAATCTCTTCAGACTTGCATTCACTACGTCTTAATATATTTTAACATTTAACGTGATTGAAAAATTTGAACCATGCATTTAGTACCTGTTTATAGAGTGCTTTCATAAGCAGTATATCCAATACTTCTATTGTAGGTACACAGAGAATATAAATGATTTACTTTAGCCTAAATGCAACTTGTTAAATGAAAGGGATTTATTCTGTTTGAAATAGAAATAAGTATATATTTTTGAATGTAGTTTTTAATTCTGATTTTAGAAATATAAATTAAAATTTGGAGAAATGAAAATAAATATTTTTATTATTTTCTTATTTTGCTAGGTCAGGTCAGTTTATGTGAGGTTAGATCAAGTTAGACTAATTAGTATATAATTACATGTTTATTTAAATAAAAAATAAATTTAATTAAAAAAATGGAAATATTTTCCCATTTAAAAATCAATTATCCAAATTTTAATTAATATTTCTGAAATCTGCTACAAATTGAGAGTAATTTGGAATGCGATTAAGTGACATAACAAGAGACATTGTGGAACCAATCGTAACGTAATTCACTAGTATCTCTGCGAGTTCGTTTGGTGCCGTAGGCATTAAAACTTAAGAATATTCACATTGGATTTGTTATGTTGACACTGGATACTTTGTATTGTCTTGCAGTTCTTTTAAATACATAAGTTTATATGTAATGCTAAAAATACTTCCTTTGTTTCGTAATCAAAATAAAAAAAAATATTTCTTTTCATTTCTCTAAATTTTAATTTATATTTCTGAAACCACCATTAAAAACTACATTCAAAAATATATATTTGAATGCAGTGCATGAAACAGAAAAGATTCAATGAAAGTATTCAAAATTTAAGAGAGTCAAGTGTTTATTAAAAACCAATAAGTCGGATCATATTGGACCTTTTAGAATACTGGGGTGGTCGTTCAAACCCCCCCACTCTTCATAGGTATGTCATACAATTTCTTCCCTAGGAAACTAAAAGTAACTACTAACTGTGTGATAAAATATAAATCAAAATTTTCCTGGAAACACATGAATTGTTTGTTCTGAATTTCAAAATGCATGATCAATTGCATGTCCTCACTTAGAAAATCAAAGTCCTTTTTAAAAATTTCAACAATTTAGTAATGTATGAAAACCCTTTTTAAAGCTGTGCTGAATAATCACATTAAGTCCTAAATATTTTTCTAACAAATCTCTAACATAGTTCTAAACCATAAAAAAAAAGTCGAAATAATAGGTCTATAACTTCCCCGGTTCTCCTTTGATTGATTTCATTTCAGAAATAGAAATCACAATGGCAATCTTGTAATAATTAGAGTTTTCCACAATGTGAAGCAACTTTTGAAAAGTAAAATTTAAAATGTCAATATTCACCTTACAATATGATGATGAGGAACCCACTCTGAGAGAATACAGTTTGAAGATGTCTTGAATGAGTAATGAATAAACTATCACAAGTTTAACACAGTGCAAAAGTACAATGTTTAAACAAGATTCTGTCACCTGTTGATGAAAATATCTTGTTGAAATTGTATATTTGTTAACGTTTTAAACTTGTAATAGTTTTCTTCATTACCCCTTCAAACTTTATTGACCTTACTATGATCTTCGAGATTTTATAATAAATCTTACCACAGCCAGGAGCTTTACAGTCAACCTTTTCAAAGAAAATTATAAGTCTGCTTTTATGAACTAAGTGCCTTTGCAAATATTTAATTTCTGAAAGTATATAAAGAATAATAGTTTAGTGCTCATGCACAGGTACCTTTCTAACCAAATATCCCTTCATAAAATATAAAAATTTTAAACTAAGATATTCCTTAGTAAATGTAATATATCATTTAAACAATTAATTATTTAATTAAAAAATTTACTCTCCTTTTTTTTTAAATTTTATCATCTAATTAGTAATTATACAGGAAGAGACAAAATTCATTATCCAGTTGAGTTGGACCGAAGTTACTATACTTCATATTGTATGATTGGTATTAAAGAAAATATTACAAAGACAATTGAAACTAATTTAATTTAATTCCAGACTGTAGGAATTGGAGTGGTGAAGAAACTGAACTAAATATTGCATCAAGTTTTATAAGACATTAGAAATTAAACTAAATAAAACAAATGTATCACTATTTTTGCCTTGCCTTGTATGACTGGTATTAAAGAAAATATTACACAGACAATCGAAACCAATTTAATTTGTTTGTTACAGAGTAAGACATTAGAAATTATTCTAAATAAAACAAATGTGTCATTACTTTTGCCTCACCTTGTACAAGAAATTGTATACATATAGGTTTATTATTTTATATTTATTCTTCAGTTTAGTACCTTTACATCAAATTTATATTACTATAATATCTTTCACTAAAAATATACCCCAATGGGGTACCAGTATGGCAGTTCACTCTCTTTTTTCATGTCTTACTTAAAATGCTTGAGTTGCATCAACATTAATTATTTGTATAAAATAAAGTACTGATGTGTAAGTGTACATACACTATTGAATATTTCAAATTTCTGCTGTAAATCCTCAAATTTAATTTCTTCCAAAACCTCTGTGTATCACATGTGGGTTAAAAGAGAATTTGGTGAAAGATAGATATTTAACAATTTGCTAGAAAACATCACAGACATATACATTTATTTTCAGTTGCTTTTGACAAAAAGTTCGTTCTAAGAAACATCTCTTCTTTCATAATTAGAGATGCACACAAGTTTCCAAGTCCAGACTGTAGGAATTGGAGTGGCAGAGAAACTGAACTAAAGATTAAGCCAAGTTTTATAACTTGTACGTGAACAACTAACAAATATACTTAAGTTTTTACATTTCTTTGTGTTCTATACTCTGTGGGTATCACAGTGTTTAACAGTATTTAATGTATTTCTAATTCAACCTCTGACATGCTCATAAACCTAACGGTTATATTAGTAAATAGTCAAATTATATCAACTGTTTTTTAATTAAACAAGTGTTTGGTCTATTTTATCAGTTTAATTTAGTAGTTGTGGCTATTTTTTGCTTGATCTCACTCTGAAACCAGTGATTTTTTTATACAAGAGCAAATTTTTTTTTTGCAATTACTACAAAATATAAAAAATATGTTTTGTTTAATTTTTTCACATCTGCTTTATGTCTTAGTTCAGTGTAAATTTTGGATATTTATAGTCCTATTCAAGTTAGTGTTATGAAATGCAAAGGCTTTAAAAACATTTTCACAGAATAGCCCTTGGTTTTGGTGAAAATTATCCTAAGAACAGAGCTTCAGTTTTAGTTAGGTTGTGCAATCTAGGATAGTTTGAAGATGCTTTTCCAGTAATAAGAGGAAAGAATAGTCAATATGGTTCCACATTACTTATTCTTCCCTGATAGCAGTTTGAATAACTTGTTGCAATGAAGTTTGAAAATGTAACTAGAATATTTCATGTTAATATTTAAAATCTTTGGAAGTAATAAAGTGGAACTACTACTTTTTTCCTACAAGTCAATGGAATGTTTTCTTGAAGAAACGGGCATGTACTAATGAGTTCTAGAATGCAAGACCATGGGCACAAAAAAAGTCACATTCAGAAATTAGGATTGTGTTCTTTTTAAAATAGCGGACTTCTAAAAGCTAACTATATTCAATCTTAGATATATTTTTATTTTATCATAGAGCATTTTACCATACATCACTTACCTACAAGCATATAGCTACAACAGTGTATTTCACCTCTCATCATAATAGTAAAATGTCAATGTTTAGTAAGTTTTCTTTATCCATTCCATGCGTTACAAAGAATATACAGGTAGATTCAAACTCTAATTTTTCAGAAGCAATACATAAAAGGAACATATATTAATTTCAGGTATAGTTTGTATAAATACTGTCTGCTTCAACTTAGATTGCTAATGAGGGTGAATTCATGAAAGGTACATTTATCTTTGAAAAAAGTGTAATTACAGAATTCTGCATACAAGTTTGAACGAACACACAATCTAATGTTCCACCTACAGTGTAGTATGGTTTTGGGTTGTAGTGAATTAAACAATTTCATGTGGAATATGGTAAAGTTATATTTTTAATACTGGAATAAACATTTAATCATTATGAGGTAGTGCAAATTCAATTAACTGAAATAAGAAAATGAAGCAGTGTTAAATAAGGAGAAATACAGTAATCATTCTTGGAAGTAAATCTTTTCATTAGATACTAGTTTTTGAACATTAGAATTGGTTCGATGTTATTTTTCTGATGATTTTATATACAAAATATCACCTGTAGTTATTTTTTAATCACATCAATAACCTTTATTTTTACTTCCATATCTTGTAGCTACAAGAAAATTAACATAAACACACACATAAATTTGACAACTAAGGGTTTGAAATAAAAATATTTTCTCGTACCAACTTGTTTAAAATGTATGGTACCAAAAGCTATACTAAATTCAGTTTACTTCCACCCAAACCTGTTCATTTCAAAAACTATGAAAGATTAATTTCCCATAACACCAAATACACCATGGATTAATGTTGCAAATAGATCTCATGGTATTTTCTGTTTAGCACATATAAAAATTATTGTCAAATCATAAAAAAATATTCTTATATTTACCAGTAACCTTAAAAAAAAAGTCCAATAGATTTGATTTATAATACTCATATGGAGGACCTGTAAAAAATGTAATATTGAGTTATCTTACAGAAGCAATTTGTTTTTGTAAGCCATGAAGAATGCCCTATTCAATGAAACAGTTGTAGTAAGGATATCTGCAAGGAAATATAAAAATTTGTGCAAATAGATCCTATGCTATTTTCTGATTATTACATATTCCTAATCCCTAATATATGTTAATAGTTATCTACTTCTATATGAAACAGAAGTCTTCATGTGAAACAGCAGGGTATGAGCATTGGAGGAATCTTCCTTCAGTAACAATGACACCAAGTCCTCCCATTCTTTAAACACAATCCTTGAACTTTTTTCCAGGGAATAGCAGTCCTTGTCTTTGTGTAAATAGTGTTCTTTCCAGAAAAGTAGCAATTCTCTAAAGTTTTCTAAGAGGCCTTGAAAAGGAAACTCATCAGATTCAGTGGATACTAAACAAGAAGACGGCTTCATAGCTTGTAAATAATCACTCAGCTGACCATTTCTGTGAGCAGTTATCAAGATGATCAAAGAAGTGTTGAGACAGCTTACACTTTCCTGGGTTAAGTTTTCAACACTTATGATTGAAATAAGCCTCTTCAAGTAAGATAATCTGGTTTGAAACCTTCCAAAATACAGTAGCAGATGACTGTGATTCTCAACATAGTCAATAATATCCTTGTCACAACTTTCTCTCAAGTGTTCTCGAGACAAGATCATACTTCGAAGAAACATGTTGGAGTCCACCAAATTTCTGTTTATGATTGCTAACAGTGTTTGCCACTTTTCCTCACTCCTGAGGGGCTTATCTAAGTGACGAATAGCACTGTAGTTAAATTTAACCAATTCAGCCAAAAGATCAAAACTGCTCTGAATCACCTCCTTAGGTCCACGACCAACAGACAGCAAATTTTCAAAAAGATGATGCAGGAGATTTCTACGAATCAGAAAATCCTGCTCGTGACTTGTGGCACAATCACGCAGAAAACTTTCAATAGCACGAGAAAACCAAAAACGAAAAGATGAATTCTTGGGCTCCTTTTTCAATACATCAACAATCTTGCTCAAGAGTCCCTTGCTCCCCACACACATCAATGATTTTTTCACATTTTTTGGTAGATCATCATTACTGTTAGAGTGAAATAATTCACTACATTCACTCCAGGATAACATTACATGCTTGTATTCTGAATGATCACAAAAACTGTGCACAAGACGCATAACCTGAGTTTTCAGAGCAATTCCCGGATTACAGTCACAGCCACCAAAGTGCCCACTATTATGCAACCTACTTGATGACCTTCCACATTCCCATGTAAAGTGATCAAAAAGATCACTAAGTTTGGGAATAAGACACAACTCGGCAAGTTTTTGCTGCACTTCCTTACGATGCTTACCAACAAGCAACAAGCCTAGAACATATGCACCGTGAGCTCTTATTGTCATTTCTGAACTAATTGCTAATGATGACTGAAAACTAAAGGCAGCCTCTCCTGACGTACTACTTCTTGAAATACCACCGACAAAATTAGTACTTTCATTCATTTCACTGGTATGTATTACTTCATTTTCAAGATTTAATTCAATCCACTGTAGCCAGTGATTTACCTCTGACACTGCAAATGAGCTAAAGGACCTGGGAAATTGGGGTACATAAGGTTTTGCACAAACTAACTGAACAAGTCTTGATAAAATTCCTGGCATGTTCAACACTGCATTTTGATTCTCATCTCGTTTAGAAAACAGATTTTTCTTTTTCTTTTCTTTATGCTGAGCATACAAAGAACTAGTTTGAGCATAAAAATCCAGATCTGATAGTGTAACAGTTAAAATTCTACAGAAGTTTCCAAGTTGGAAATCATTAAAAGATTCCACAAGTTTTCCTAAATTTGGAATATGTAAGAAGTTGACAGGCTTTTTGCATGATAAAAATAAACATTCCAAAAGTTGTGAGGCAGGTAATGACGTCTGTGAGAACTGGATCAAGTTAAGTAATGTTTCAAATATGCTTTCATATTCTGACAAGTTCTGTGCCACGCTTTCACACTGAATACACAAGCAATGCAAAATTTCTAAACAAAGTCCACGTAGACAGAGAGCTTTATTTGTTTGATATAAGTTAGCTTTTTCAGGTGGAAATACCATAAATGATAAAACAAATCTAATAAGGGCATTTACAGCACCACTGAAATCAGCGAATAATTTAAAAATCACAGACTTAGACTTTGTTTGCCGTATATCATTCAGAAGATATGATGAAGGTGAAACCATAAGCTCATCCTGCATCCATTTTAACATCTGAATACTGGATGGGTAATCATCATCAATACATGAAATTGAAAATGATTTTTTGTTTAAATCATTTAAATATTTTAGACATTTTGTATAGTTTTTATAGTCTTGTAAAAACTGAGCTGGACTGTTTGGGTTTTTATTCTCAATATTTTTTTCAAAGTCAAGTTCTGATAAAAGAAGACCCTCAGGTACAAAAGTTAAGCCTAATACGTCTTTCATTGCCAACCCATACATTGAAGGAGTAACGCAGAATTCGCTAAATGGTTTTTTACTTGCAGACGAACCTCTACACAACAGTCTTCTAACTGCCATATCAATTCAATAACGATTCAACCTCTGTTTTTCAAACATTAGTCAACTACTCATGTTATTGTTAAGTCAATTTGAAATTCTCGCTAACTAGGCTAAACTAAAGCGTACACCACAATAATAATTTACCTCGATTGTCATTGATGACACTACTGCTTGGTTACTACTAGTAATGAAAGTCTTGCAGAAAGAGTATACTTGCTATAGAATTCTGTAGCAATAACTTTGTTTTATATAAAGTACTTCATCAGTGGACTCTCCTTAACTTTTCTGAATAAAAATCACGCAGAAAAAAGCTTAACATTACGTCTAACGTTAACTTTTTGCTCAGCTGGTTTTGTAAGATATTAGTTTTGCTGAAACCGGTTATGGTTTACTCAAATCTATGAAAATAAAAAACAAACATACAAAACAGCATAAGAAAAACAAAATAAAAACTATCAATTTTTACTATACATAAAGAAATTCATATTAATGCCGTAAAAAATAATTTCCATATTTTATTAAAAAATACTACATATCAATTCAATTTATAAACTTCAAAAATGTTTATAAAGTCAATATAAAACGTGCCCAACAGATGGCAGCCTTGTGACTGCCTTTCGAAACTAGTTGCAACGACTGTAGTAGTAGTGTAAATATTGTTACGTCTCCGT